TCAAAGTGCTATATGGTAAGAGGCAACTGGCTATTTATCACAATGAGTCATGCATTATTATGTTACAGCGTTTAAATGCAACACAAGGGCACTCACCTCCTTTACCTTATTTACTTCTCAAAAAATTGCAACGGCAATTAAAATAATTAATTGGCCAATTTTTGGAACAACGATCTGTAGATTCTGGACGTTTTTGATTGCACATCCCTATTAAAATATATTGGGAAAACACTTCAGTCCCCCCCATACACTATATGGCGAAAAGAGCCTGCACTCCTCTCTTCTGAGAACACTTTTCACAAGATTTGGGAGCGTGTTTGTGGGAATTTGTGCAGTGAGGTTGAGGTCAAGGCTCTGTTCAGGCCACTGGAGTTCCTTCACATCTAAGCTTGTCATATCATGTCTTTTATGGAGCTCTCTTTGCGCACTGGGGCACAGTCATGCTGGAACAGAAAAGGGTCTTGCCCAAACTGTTGTAACAAAGTTTGAAGCATATGACTACTTAAAATGTTGCAGTAGCATCACCCTTCACTGGAACTAAGGGACCAGAAAAACAGCCCCAGTCCATTATCCCTCCCCCACCAAACTTCACTGTCTTTGTGTTCCGATTGGTAGCGTTCTCCTGGCATCCACTAAACCCAGATTCCTCCATCAGACTGCCAAATGGTGAAGCATGTTTGATCACTCGAGGGAACTCGAGGTTTCCACTGCTCTATAGTCCAGTGACAGCGTGCTTTACACCACTCCAGCCGAAACTTGGCATTGCACATCTTCCATAGGCAGTTTGGAACTGTGTACTGAGTGATGCAAGGATTTTTACTTGCTTTGAGCTTCTGCACTCAGCTGTCCCGCTCTGTTAGCGTGGTCTCCCACTTCATGGCTGAGCTGTTGGTGCTCTTAGATGCTTCCATTTCAAAATAATAGCACTTACAGTTGACCAGGGCAGATCTAGCAGGGCAGAAATTTCGCAAACTGACATCTTATGACAGTGCTGCATTTAAAGTCAGTGAGCTCTTCAGTTCGACCCATTCGACTGCCAGTGTTTGTCTGTGGAGGTTGCATGGCTATGTGCTTGATTTTGCAGACCTGTTAGCAATGAGTATAGTTGAAACACTTGAACTCAGTAATTAAAGGTGTCCACATACTTTTGGCCGTGCAAAGTTGTTCTTCTGCCAGAACTGTAGTCATCATTGTTTCTTTGTCTCATTGTTCTTCTTCTTCAAGTCTCATTGTTCTTTTTAAATAACCTTTGATAAATTACTAACATAGTTATTGGTTTTCTTTTGTTCGTTTGAATGCTTCTGTCCAATGATTATTCTCACCTGGTCTGTTTCTTCGTAATTCATATATCATTTGGTGTTGTTATCGTGTTGTATCGCCACCTAGTGTCCCGAAGTAGCAGTTGTTCAGAGTTCACGCCTTTGCTGCAGAGATTAAATTGAGAAACAAAACAGTGTAATCAGTTAATCGAAAATGCCTCAAATGCATATTGATCATAATGTTCGATTTTTATAATTGTCGTTATCAGTTTGTCACCCAAAACTAAGAGTCTCACTCTCTTTATCTACCCCTCTCTCTCCTCTCTCTCTCTCTCTCTCTCTCTCTCTCTCTCTCTCTCTCTCTCTCTCTCTCTCTCTCTCTGTGGCGAGGATTTAGTGTGGTCAGCTCTTCCCCATCAAAACCGTTTCTCTTCCTTGCTGTCTCCACCACACGGCCTCTTCCTCTGCACTGTATCCAAGCCCTCTCCATTAAGAAAATTACGTTCCACGCAGAGAGGCGCTTTAATAGACTCTCCCGTCCTCTTTATGATGTGGGCCCACTCTTTTATGAGATTGTATTGTAATTCAACTTGGCCCGGAGGTGACGGCGTCGACTGCGGCGTGCCGGCCTCAAGCCTCCGAGTAATTAAATGTCAGGTGATGTTACCAAATGAAAAATAAATCAGGAGAAGTAATAAGAAAATGAGAGCACACTATCATTACACGGGGGGGGGTCTCTTGGGGGTCCGGCTGAAATAAATTTTGAAAACCCGTCGGTTGAAAGTTCACAGAGCAGCGTAATTGCAAAAACTTCCAAGGATGTTATTGAATTCTTCAGATACAGTGCGCCTGAGATACAGTGTCTTAATTCAATGGTTATATGGAGTTATTGCTAAAATTATTTATGTATGACTGATCAATGCAGACAGTGTGTATGAAATGAACAGGTCACTGTTTTATCTTTTCATGTGGTAGTGTTAACACCTACCTTGTACTTTCGCTCACTGGCCACTTTATTAGAAACACTAACCTCGTACTTCAGCTCAGTGGCCACTTTATTAGAAACACTTACCTCGTACTTCCGCTCACTGGTCACTTTATTAGAAACACTTACCTTGTGCTTCCGCTTACTGGTCAGATAATTAGAAACACCTACCTTGTACATCCACCTACTGGTCACTTTATTATACACCTACTAGGCTGGAGGACGTCTATGACAAACTGCATCAACATATGATCCACACTCTCTAACTGTACACCAGCAAGGTCCAGCTGTAAGAGAGGGGTTTCTGATAAAATGGCCAGTGAGTATATAGGCAGCCAGAGTGACAGCCAGCTCTGTCTATTAACGCAAAGTGGCCTTATCCTCAGAGGGTCATGATTTTGAAATTGAAATACCCTTTTTTTTTTTTTTCCCCCCGGCTTTCCATCCAGCCCACTGACGAGAAGCTATTGCTCCAGCAGGCTGTATTTCTCCTCATACCTCCTTTCCTATTCTTCATGGAAATGGGTTTACATCTGTTGCTGTTTGTTCAGCTCACACGGCAAAGACGCCTCTGAAATTACCTGTCACTCACCTCCTACACAACGGCAACCAAAATTTGAAAAGGTGTTTCTTCTCTCAGTCATTTGATTCCTCTCCTCTTCCCCGTGTGTAATAGTGTTTCTCCAGCGGCTCCAGATGCGTATCGGACTGAAAAAGTAACCTCACTGAAATCCCTGCTAGCGGAGCGCGGAGAAATAAGCTAATCTAGTCCAGAGGGATTTCTCAGCCTGAGGGCCAGATACAGCGCACTCTACATTACCATCAGATCACTCTCCGCCCGTCTGTCTGTCTGTCTGTCTATACATTACCATCAGATCACTCTCCGCCCGTCTGTCTGTCTGTCTGTTTATACATTACCATCAGATCACTCGCCACCCGTCTGTCTGTCTGTCTATACATTACCATTAGATCACTCTCCACCCGTCTCTCTGTCTGTCTATACATTACCATCAGATCACTCTCCGACCGTCTCTCTGTCTGTTTATACATTACCATCAGATCACTCTCCACCCGTCTGTCTGTCTATACATTACCATCAGATCACTCTCCGCCCGTCTGTCTGTCTGTCTGTCTATACATTACCATCAGATCACTCTCCGCTCGTCTGTCTGTCTGTCTATACATTCCCATCAGATCACTCTCCGCTCGTCTGTCTGTCTGTCTATACATTACCATCAGATCACTCTCCGCCCGTCTGTCTGTCTGTCTGTCTGTCTGTCTGTCTATACATTACTATCAGATCACTCTCCGTCCGTCTCTCTGTCTGTCTGTCTATACATTACCATCAGATCACTCTCCGCCCATCTGTCTGTCTGTCTGTCTGTCTATACATTACTATCAAATCACTCTCCACCCGTCTATCTGTCTGTCTGTACATTACCATCAGACCACTCTCCGCCCGTCTGTCTGTCTGTTTGTACATTACCATCAGATCACTCTCCACCCGTCTCTCTGTCTGTCTGTTTATACATTACCATCAGATCACTCTCCGCCCGCCCGTCTGTCTGTCTGTCTGTCTACTCCTGTCTTTCTCTCTTTCTATCTTCCTGTTTCTCTGTTTCTCTTTCTCAGCTATCTAATGTGTCTGTCTGCCCATCTGTTTGTCTCTTGTTTTTTTTCTCTCTCTCTCTCTCTGCTCACTCCTCACCTGCCCGTCTATCTCTCTGCCCATCCTACGTGACTTATCTTTCTACCCTTTTGTTTATCTCTGTCTGTCTCTTTCTTTTTAAATTTTTTCTCTCTCTCAGGTAACTCTGTAACTGGAGTTAGTTAGTTTTCTTTCTTTCTGTCTTTCTTTCATTTTTCTTTCATTCGTTCTTTCTTTCTTTGAATCTCTCTTTCTTTCTTTCTTTGAATCTCTCTTTTTCTTTCTTTCTTTCTTTGTTTTTTTTTTCTTTCCCTTTTCATTTTTCTTTTTTTTTTATTTCTTTCTTTTTTTCTTTCTTTTCTTTCTTTCTATCCCTGTCTCTGTCCCTTTTTTGTCTTTTTTTTTCTTCTTTTTGGATTTCTTTCTTCCTCTCTTACTCTGTCTGGCATATTCTGTCCCTCTTTGTTTCTTTTTTCTTGCTTTCTGTCTCTTTCTCTACTCTCTAATATTTTCTTTGTCTCTGTTGCTTTCCCTCTCTCTCTCTTTCTCTCTCTTCCTACCTCCACTTTGTCATACCCCCCCTCTATTACTGAGAGTCTGTCGTGTTTTGGTGGCTCTGCTCTAAATCCCGACTCTCTCTGTAGTTGATGTGTGGAATTGAGGACTGTCTCCTGAATTTAATTCCCCGCGTCACTCATGGATGGAGTTGTTGAGCTCTCTCCCTCCCTCTCTCACTCTCTCCCTCCCTCTTTCTCTCTCTCTGAGCTCCGATTGCTGTGGACCTTGGTGGTTCAGTCACACGAGTGACAGCCAAAACCACAATTGTACACTACAACACAGCAGCCAGCGGAGGGTGAGAGGGGGTTTGTTTGAGCTGGCAGAGTTTGGCTTCCTTCTGTTGTTGCAATTAAGGCCCTGTAATGCGGTTAGTTTAGAGAAATCCCAAGGTTTAGGGCTTGTAATGCAGCACTTGTAATTTGTTGTGGTGCTTATTTAAGTTGTTTTGTCTGAAAGCTGCATGGCCTCAAATCAAAGAACCCAGCGTACGGCGAGATTTGTTGTGTCTGCAACAAAGAAAGTAACGGCTTTATATTCTGTTTCTCTTCAGGTCCATCAGAAAAGAGCCGAAGACTGAACCCCTGTCTTACGTGGACCAATTGCCAGTAGCTGAAATCATTCATCAGGTACGTATTCAATTTAACTTCACTAAAATGTGTAAATAAAGCCATTGATTTTCACAACTCCCTCACAACCGCCTCTTAGAAAAGCTGCTCGTTTGGTGATTTGTGTTAGATGGAGTCGAGGCTGCTGAAAGAGGCAGTTGATTATAAGGTGGTTGATTTAAACGCTCTCCTGTGTGTGAAATCCTCACTGGTGCTGTGACCTATTCCTCCATCTGTCTGAAGTAATGATGGAGAATGGACAATAGCTTTAGCTGTGCGGCACTCGAATTGGAATTGGGCTTCATTATACATTACCTGCTATGCCTGGACTTCAGCTATGACCATTCAGCGGCCGTATAAATATCGACATCTGGGTTTTTTGTTTTAACGCCTGACGATTAGGAACATTGACCACTTTGCTAAGCTGCCGTTGCCCCTGGCAGTAACAGAATTTTCCATCACTGCTTCACGAGAAACATGGACTATCCGTTTTGATGTAATCAATTTGTCATCATAACAAAAACAAAGCATTCACCATTACATTTAGTGCTGTAAGCATGATTTAACAAGAGATTTTATAGGTGGGGAAGTTGACCCACCTCTGCCCTTAAACCCATATTATTGTTGTCTTGCTATACATTCAATTCACATTACAAAATTACTGACATACAATTGCATAATAACATAACTAATAACATAGGCAGGCACATAATGAATTACATTTCTATTCAGTTCACATTCTACCCTTTAAATCGATAACACATATGTCTTCATAAGTTGAAGAGTTTTTATTTTTGATTTGAATATGATGAAAGTAACTTTGATGGCACTCAGTTTTATCAAAAATGGAAATAGTGTTGTTGATAACATGCTCATATTACAGACTTTTAACTGGGATTCGAACCCACAATCTCCTAACCAGGGCAAACCATAACCTTGTGTGGTGTTCAGGTCTGTGAGAACCATTTTCAATGTTTACCAAAAGAAAAAATGATGCAATTTATTTATTTAAACTCCAGATTTCTTGGCCTTTGCTCATTTTCTGTGAAGAACATACAAAATAACCCATTTTCAGTGCCTTCACTCTGTTCACCCCTACACATTTATATTACACATGTGGTGTTGGGTGAACCTGCAGGGAATAAAAGTGTGGAGGTGCTGTGTCCTTCACTCTGTTCTCCTCCTACATGGCCTGCTGTTAGTGTGTGTGTGTGTGTGTGTGTGTGTGTGTGTGTGTTTATTTTTATATATATATATATATATATATATATATATATATATATATATATATGTATATGTGTGTGTGTGTGAGGGTGGACAACATGGGCAGGCTGCTGACTGGCTACAGCTGCTAAAGGAGAACCCCACGCTGGCCACTTGTGATATTTTAAACATCTGGTATTTTTACAAAAATGGTTATGGCTGTATTGATTTAAAAAAAACAATAATGCGGTGGGTCCAGCAGACCACTGAGTAACACATCAACACCACACAAGGGTTAAAGGGGCATTCCAGCCTACAAATAGCTTTTAATAGGTCATTTGTATTGTTATGCATACTCTGTAGTGCAGTTTTGCATCCCTCATCCTCATCAGGTTGACAGAATGTCACTTTTTTGTCTGTTTTCATTCATCAATGTTCTCTCTATATAATACCCAGCATGCATTACACAAATAGATCATACAACCATTTGGAATTCCCCTCAGTATGATAAAGAAATCACAACTGCCAGTGTAGCCACTGTTGCCATGAATACAGACGTGATATTTTGCTTCCTAGTCGTAACATTTTTTCTACAAAACATTTCTAATGGCCCAACCTCAAGTATCCACCCCTAAAACCGCTGTAGTTTTATTCTTCTCACCTTCAAGGTACATCGTTAGAAGGGGGTTTTCCGAGTCTTTAAACTAGAAAACCTCACTCTAGTGCTGCAGTGCCGCGGTAATATGCAAATTGAAAATGATGTGATATGTTATTGGTTACCTGAAGTTTTGGACCCTCAAATCAAAATCAGTGTTTGCTAGCGTACAGTTTATTTTGGCTTAAGAAAAACATGCATTTTTGTGATGTTTTTGCCTTTGTTGATCTTAAAACAAGTGGGAGAACATGTCAGAAGTGCCAGCTGATGCAGGCTATAGAGAATGTACATGTAATGTAACTATGCGATTATCATTTAATTGTGTTTACATCGGATACCAAAACAAAACTGTTAAAGCTTTGGGTTCACTACGCAACTTTTAAAGTCTTAACAGATTACACACACTAAACGATTAGGGATCACACACTACTGAACTTTTCAGCTGTTTTTGAACCGAACGGAGCTCACTGAACTCATGCTAACTCACACTAACTCTCGCTAACACTCGCTAACCCTTGCGTTCTCCCATTACTAGGAGACGCAAATAAACAAACATGGAGCGGCTTGCTGCTGCTGTTGTTTTCTCTGCCGTTTGCACTGACAGTAAAGAAGCAGCAGGTAAACTTTTTTTTTTTTTTTGGGTTCCCAATTTTCTCTCCAATTTTCTCCCCAATTTAGTCGTTTCCAGTTCCACCCGCTAGTTAGGACTCCCCTTTCACACAATATTACCAACGCTAGGAGGGTGAAGGCTAGCACAGGTTTCCTCCGAGACCTGTGAAACCAGCCACCGCTTCTTTTCAAACTGCCGCTCACGCAACGTCATTGGACAGTTGAACGCGTCAAGGAAAGCGCCAACCGCCAGATCTGTTACATCAGCTTACAGACCAGCATTGTGTTAAGTGATGGGGGAGAAGGGGGGCCATCTTACCCACCCAGACAGAGCGAGGCCAATTGTGCTACGGATGGCTGTAGCATCACCAGGGATCGAACTCGCGATCTCCTGATGAGAGGGCCAACGCTTAGACGGTTGCGCCACTCGGGAGCCCCCAGCAGGTAAACATTTAAGTGAGGCTCATGGATTTAAATTGTGATCATTGTGTTATTTTTAGAGTTTTAAATGTACATAAACCCGATTGTGCCTTATATTCGGATCATTAAAAAGCTTCACTTCACACGTGAGAGTCTTTTCACCATTTTTTGTTTGTTTACTTGCTGTATTTTCTTCTTTCATTGACTGTTGCAGGAGTCTGTTCAGACTGAGTCGTCCGGTTTACACTAGATGACGCTCAGTCAGGTCGGAAAAATCAAACGTGTGATAAACTCAGACTGGGCTGAAACGCAATTGGGAGGCCAAGAGTCTGTGCCCCTCACACACGACTCGATTCTCCCTCCAGCTGTCGACTCTGACCTAAAGTTCTGCAGGCTAGACCCGACTAGCACAGACTCGGCCAGACTGAGATTCAGGGCTAAAATCGGGGTAAAAGTCATGTAGTTTCTAGGGCTTAATCTATATGGTCAGTTAGATACCCAGTTTTCAACAGCACACGTTTGAGCATGTGTAATGGAGCAGTGTGAAAACGAAGCTTCAGCTGAGGAACCTCCATCACACACTCCACCCCCACCAGCAGTGCTTCAGAGAGGCACCGCTGATTGGTGCTCCCTCCCGCTGAGCCCAGGACTCTTATTACTGACCCCACGCCGGCACCATCAAAGCCTTTGATCCCTCAGCATCACCTGAGGAAGAGAAGCAGGGTTAATGGCACACTCTCCCTTACTGTTTTTTTTTATTTTTAATCTATATATCTTTCTCTCTATCTCTCTCTCTCAGCCTCCGCAGTTCATTCTTTCTCATTACAGTGGCATGTTTCGAAAAGCCCAGCTCACAGAGTATCTCAAAGGAGTGAGGCTGGAGAGAAGCCGCTGCCCTTTCCCTCCCTCCTCTTTTGATTAAGTCTTTGTGAGTTCACAGCTGTTCGTGTGCTGGAGGGTGTCGAGGCCTAGCAGTTCAAACAGATTTAAAGGGAAGTTCCACAGATTTTTTTTTTGATTTCTGCTTAATTAAATGGTAAGATGTACACAGAGTCATTCGGAGAGGTTTGATGTGAAAGGCTTTATTCTAGAGAAACATATCGAGTTGGAATTTATTCGCTGTGGTGGTGATAGGAACCAGACGTCTGAAGAGTTTAATGCTGTTATAAGCTGCCTTACAGTAAGTTATTACATGAACTGGTTATGAAAACGCTGCCTAATGCCCGCGAAATTGTTTTACGATGGTTTTTTAGATTAACTTTTTGCCTAAAACCTTTTTTTCAAAACACATTCATGGCGAAGATGTAGGTGCAGGGTGTTCTACGGCAAAATGGTCCCCAAAGCAAACTTATTTTTTCAGATTTACCACTATTTTACCATCATCAACGTTACATATAGAAAATAAAAGAAGATTATGTAGGTTTGAGTTCAAACCACTCTAAATTATTTTGTTTTTGATCTCTTAAGTATCGATTTCTTTGATAAAAATATAAAAAAAATTGGTGGAATTGCCCATTACAGTGATTTTACACTTTCACTTTTTTTAATCATACACATTTCCATCATACAAATGCAGTGGTATGCAAAAGTTTCGGCACCCCGGACAAACGACATGATCAGACAAACTAATCACATGCTACCATGCTAGTCACAATACAACAATACCATGCATTGCATTACTGAGGCTGTGCGTTACTGTGATGTTTTCACAGGAACAGTGTTCTTAGGCACGGCGTGAAGCCAAGCAACCATGTTTGTTCGCCCTTCACTGTATATTGCGGTCATTTCATGATTTATTTTTTTTTACTTTTTGTTGTATAACAGTGATACGTGACACATGATAACATAGCACTGTTTAATGCAAAAACTTTCTCTTTATAAGTTCTTTTTGGTCACCAAATCACCACCGCAAGTCTTATTTAGCAACAATCCAGCACCGTTCCTCTTCTCACGCTGGGGCTGAATCTCAAACAGCTCCCTGCTCCCTACATAGTGCACTACGTAGCACTTTAAATACTGTATCCTGCAGCTGAACAGAGCAAAATACAGCTAAGAAACAGTCATTTGGGAGTCAGACACATCCACACTCAAAAAATGGTGCACTATTTGGCTTTAGAAGCTAGAATTTCTAAAC